GTCTTCTAGGAGGTACTCCTGAGAAATTAATCTAAGAGGATTTGGAATTGAACCTGGAGTAAGCCTGTGTAGATGTCTAAGTTTGAATGTCTTCTCATCAACAGAACTGTGGAGCCCGAAGCATTCCTGTCATTTCCCCAGACAACCACGAGAGGGCAGAGCAGGACTACTTATGACAGTGGAGCCATTGCAGAAGCCTAGGTGAGCTCTCTTCAGATTAGGGTTACAGCTTCAGAGAACTTTAGAAGAAACATCTCTGTGCCAGTATTCTCCAATGTAAGAAACAAATCAAGGTAATGCACTAACAGGAGGACGGACTCTGAGGCACACAGACAGGGAAATGGAATTGCCCTGTGGTCTCTGTACAGATCTGCCCTCCTGCTGTCCATCCATGTCATAACTTCTCCCCATGTAAATTGTTTTGATGACCAGATGGCACTGTCGTGTGTCAGTCATGTGGCTTCTTCTTTGTAAAGCGGATCCCTGGTAGCCTGTGATGCTTATCTCAGAGAGTGGAAAGGAACTGAAAGGATAAGACACAGGGCAGGTAATGGGCAGGAGGGCTCAGGGCACAGCCTGCAGGGTTTGAACTCTCATAGTTAGCACAGCTAAGATCTAGTGCACACCAGCTGAAGTCCCAGTGACAGACTTTTCTCTTCCTTGGGGAACTTCACCAAAATCACTTAGATTTGAATAGCATGTGCAAAGTACCTACAACACATTTGAAGGAGTCTAATGCTTTCTGTTACAATCCTGGGTCTCCCTCCCCAGATGATCAGTGTCCAGACAGCAGAGTTTACCCCTTGCTCAGGCCGTGTCCCAGGCCCCACACTCAGCAGCAGATGTGGAAGAGCTGCCCACTGCTCCTGGGTGCATGCACTTGGCCAGGAGATACCTTGTGAATCAGGACCTGCGCTTGGGCAGCCAGGATGTAAAGTCCCAAATCTGTGCTGCTTGGTGACCTTCCAGGCTCTTTATCCCTGATTCCCTTCCTACTGCATCCCCCAGACACGAGGCCCCGCCCCCACTGTTTCCCACAATGCTCATCCTGCTGTGACTTCTGCTTAATTTGCCCCTTCAGGTAGGACTACTCTGCACATTGGGTGTCACGGGACAGCTCAGATCCCCCTGAGTAGCCCACTGGATGTCCCTAGACTAGTTGATCTGCCATCACCTGCTGTTGTTTCCTTGTATGGACTAGATAGCAGCGTCACCTGAACCCTATGTAAGCCTTAGCTGCAGTGAGCTGACTTGGGGACCACACATGCAGCTTTTAAAGCATCTTATTGGCTCATGCATGTCAGCGTACTTTTCAGAGGCAGGTACCCTTCACCTAAAAAAGTCAGTCTATACATTTTGACCTACGTGGTTTACATGTCTCAGCCTACTTTTCTTCTAAGGACAACATCCAATTCCCTCAGCTGAGCAATTTGTAGCAATTTTGTGTTTTCTTTCTGAGTTTCTTGTACTGAAGCTTTGTACAGCAAGCAGACCAGGCTACATCCTCGCATGTGGAGGCTGGACACTTCTGCCAGTTTCTCTGCTGTGTGTGGCACCAGGGGGTGGCTGCCTCTCCACTTGCTGGGGAGATGCATTTTGCAACACATCGTTGATATCCTTTCTTGATCAAATGGAATGGAGCTTAATCCATTTCTCAGGTGGCATTGGTATTTGTAAATCCCAAGCGTTCTTTGACAAAACAGTTTATACTCAAAGATGTTTCTTAGAGAAAACATAAGCATCAAGGTTCTGAGGACCTCAGCAGTCAGAGAAGCAGCTATTGCAAAGCCTAGGGGCAAATACTGCCCTTGAGGTTGACAGATTCTAGAAGAGTGAAGAGGGTGGTTAAGGAGGCAGGTTTAATGAGTCCACACAGTGGCTTGCCATGTTTAAACGGCATCTCATATTGTGTAGTATTTCTTCTCCTCTGGGTTTACTTTCAGAGTATGAAGAAGCTGACTAGCTCTTCCAACATTTCAAAGTAGTTCACCATGAACTTGTTTTTAAGGATTTGTGTATTTGAAAATATAGTTACACTGAAAGTGAGAGAAACAGAGAGAGAGATCTTCTATGTGCTGGTTCACTTCCCTAGATGGCCTTACTACAAGGACTGGGCCAGGCCAAAGCCAGGAGCTTCCTGTTAGTCTCCCATATGGATGGGTGGGGCCCAAGTACTTAGCCCATCTTCTTCTGCCTTTCCCAGGCCTCCAGTAATGGATCTGGATCAAAAGTGAGGCCTAAACCAGCATCCAAAAGGGATGTAGCATTGCAGTCCGCAGTTTATCTGTTATGCCACAATGCCAGCCCCTAACCAGTAACCTCTAACTTGCATAACCACGTCATTTATTGTGTAATGACCCTTGCTTTTTGTAAAAAATACTGATTTATTTGAGAGGAAGAGTTAGAGGGAGAAGCAGAGAGATAGAGAGAGGTCTTCCATTCATTGGTTCATTCCCCAAAAATCTTCACTGGCCAGACTGGGCCTATCTGGAGGCAGAAACTACTTCCAGGACTCCCAGTGGGTGCAGGGGCCCAACCACTGGGCCGTCTTCCACTGCTTTCTCAGGTACATTAGCAGGGAGCTGGATCAGATGTGGAGCAGCCTGGACTTTGACTGTTGTCCATATGAGATGCCAGCACTGCATACAGAGGCTTAACCCACTGCACCACAGTGTCACCCCGAATAATGCCCCTTTAATCTTAAATTTCTCCTTGGACTTTTACAAAATCAGTGATAATTAAAAACTAGTCTTAAAAATATTGGCCACTCATGAACAAAGGATGTACTTTTCTCTAGAGAGAGGAGAGAAGATCTACATTGCTTATGTCCTTGTGTAAAGACTGACATAGTTTTTGGATTCAAAAGGCTTCCATAGTCTAGGCAGCTCCTATCAAGAGCCTCGGGTGGTCCCTGACATCATACATAAGAGTGTTAATTGTTAAATTAGTGACAGGAGTCACAATGCACTTCCTTCCCATGCAGGACTTCTCTCTTCAATGAGTTGTATTATGAGAGTTAATTGTAAAATTTGTTCTCAGTTTTGTGTGTGTGTGCATGTGTGTGCAAATTATTGAAATCTTTACTTCGTATAGAGTTGGTCTTCTTTGTACAAATTTCAAATGAATCTTAATGGAGAATGGGGCTGGGAAGTGGAGAGGGAGGAGGAGGTGGGGTGGGAGTGTAGGTGGGAAGGCGGGCATGGTGAGAGGAATAACTATATTCCTAAAGTTGTACTTACAAAATTTGCATTCCTTAAGAAATAAATTAACGGCCATTGGAGGGTGAACCAACGGCAAAGGAAGACCTTTCTCTCTCTGTCTCTCTCTCTCACTGTCCACTCTGCCTGTCAAAAAAAAAAATAAAAAAAAAAATAAATTAACTACTAAATTAAAAAAGGAGTAGGTGAAATCAAAGAAATAGGCTAGTCAGTGTAAGAAGTGAAATGTGACCTGAGACTCCAGGAGGAGGTGCTTTCAATCTTTTTTTTTTTTTTTTTTAACAGGCAGAGTTAGACGGTGAGAGAGAGAGAAAGGTCTTCCTTTTCCCGTGGGTTCACCCCCCAAATGGCTGCTACAGCCGTCGTGCTGCACCGATCCGAAGCCAGGAGCCAGGCGCTTTCTCCTGGTCTCCCATGCAGTGTAGGGCCCAACACTTGGGCCATCCTGCACTGCACTCCTGGGCCACAGCAGAGTGCTGGACTGGAAGAGGAGCAACCAGGACAGAATCCAGCGCCCACCCAGGACTCCAACCCGGGTTGCCAGCGCCGCAGGCAGCAGATTAGCCAAGTGAGCCTTGGTGCCTGCCCAGGAGGAGGTTCTTATGCTAATATTGAGGCCAGGGTGTTTGGAACCAACCCCCCCCCCCCCCGCAGGAGGAAATGTGCATGGAAGGGTTTGCTTGGGAAAGTGGGGAGACAGCATAGAAGCCGGCCTCATAGTCCGAACACGGGCCCATCTCTGACTGCAGGTCCCTCTACCCAGCTTCAGGCCAATCTGGAGCAAGGAGCATCCTCACCTCAGCAGCAAAGACCCCTGCCCCTCAGCCCATGCCCAGAGGATCCCCATGCAAGTGACATTGTCCTTCCTGGGGTGGTGGCAGTGACAACTCTGCACTCTTGAATGTGAGCTGTGCAAAATCACAGTTTCTGTGCAGAATCGGGGGCTGGATGTTAACAGAGGTGCCTCCCGCAACTCCTCACCTGATAATGACCCATGCCCAGCTTGCCTCATTGAGCCAACCAGTGGAACCTCTCTAGGGTACTGGCCCTGGAGCACGGGCCCCCAATAACCCTATTCTGGGTGGCATCCTGGCCTCTGGTCAATTTCCATTGCAAGGGGGTGAAAATCCTGGTTGGTTGTCAGTGGTTTATTGCTAACACCTGGTTTCCTGTGCAGCCCCAAGAAGGCTACTTTTGTGTCTCTTTCTTTTCAAGGAATATGTATATAAGTTAGACCTCCTGGGAGTTGTAGTATGTGCACCCTTTTGAATACAATGCTGCTTGAACTAAGTGGTAAACAAGAGAATGTTGGAGATTAGCACTTTTATCAATTCCTATCTCTGGATTTTCATCTTAGCAGCTTCCTTTTTTTCATGGAAGAAGTTTGTTGAAACAACTGTGGACATGGCAGGTCTGAGTGAAAGGGGAAAACAGCAACACCTGTGGTAGTGTTCATAATCACGGGCTGTAGTACAGGGTGTTCAAGGAGAGCGTCGATCATTTAAGGAGACAAACTAACTATTCTTTCAATAAATCTTAACCCTGAAGTAATCGCCAGGCAGACACAGGGTCAGATCTCTGAAGTGGAATTAGGTTTCATGTTCTCCACGGGTAATATGGTTTATGTTGTGTAACTTTTGTCCCGGCAGGCCCGGGAGCTGTGAAGTCCCCTGTGTACCTGCACTGAGCCTGCTCCTGCCTGCATGCCAGGCCTCAGCCACAGCTGCAGCCCTGCTGTCAGGGAGGCCCAGTGCATTCTTCAAAGCAGCCCAGGTGCCAGCAGGGTGCGCTTCAGCCTCTCCTTCTTCTGGCTCCCACCACTGCCTGCCTTGCCAGGTGAGTCCCCTGGACCGGGCGGGGCACCACTGAAGACACTGATGGCCTGATTTTCCCAGCCGTGGCAGCGGGATCGCAGAGCAGTGAAGCAGAACTAGAAGGTGCCAAGCAGCACAGCTGATGCCACTCAGGAAGGCAGCCACTGTGGGGCCCATGGAAGGCAGAGGCCACGAAGGAGGGGAGTGGGGGCAAGAAGGCTCTGGGCAGGCATGGCCATGGGGACACAGGTGGCAACTCCAAAGGAGAATGTGTTGGAATCCCAGGTGCTGCATTCCGTGGAACTGGAAAGCGCTTACTCCCTGGTCCCAAAGATGCAGGACCTCAGCCCCTCAGGGCAGGAGTCTGGCCCTTCACGAAAGAATTCTGGAATGGTTCTGAGTGCTGGTCCAGGGAGCAGTTGGGGTGGTCCACGAGAATTTGAAACCAGTGGTGGGGTTGTGGAAGGGACCCAGGGCCAGATGGGGTTTTGCACTGAGCAAGAGGATCTGCTGTGGAACTTCCTGCAGCCCTGTGCCTCTTGGACCTGCTGGGTTTTTTCTGGAGTCAGGCTGTACTACCATGGGTCTGGGCTACCTGTAGGAGGGGCGGTGAGCATCCCAGGAGGTGACCTGACTGTCTGGAGCCCAGGCTGTTGCCTCCCTGTGCTGAATCTCAGAGCTGTTTCAAGGCTGCCCACCCATCATCCCCTGTTCGTCAGGACCACGCCCCTGGCCACCCAGCTGGCCCAGTGGCTTCCTGTCTCAGGTCCCAGCATGAGCCCCAGGAGCAAGAGGCCTGTGGATTTGTAACTGAGTCCGGACCCTAAACAGTCTTGGCTTCCCCGCGGCCCAGACCAAGGAGCATGAAGCGGCCTCAGTCTCTGCAGGAGCTGCACGGAGGAGGTGGCCCGCGTGACCCGGGCCAAAACTGGCAAACCGGCTGACCATTGACATAAGTGGACCATTGCTATGCAGGGTCCCAGGCGCAGGGCCCCACAGCTGTGAAGGGCTCTGGGAAGGTGTCCCCAAGTAAGCTCGCCTTCCCTAGCTTCATTCTCTCTCTGGCGTTTCGAAGGCATTGTTCGGCATGTGTCCTGTACATAGTGCCTCCTCCTCTCTCACCAACTTGGTTGAATTTTTTGGGATACCCTTGCTGGTATCAGTTCTCTTAGATGGTCTGGAAGGAATCCTTTACTTGGATCTGTCCTACAGACCTGTGCTCCTGTTCTGGGTCATGGCAGGCAGATCACCTCCTTGTTTGCCTTGGTAGTTAGACCCCCATTCTTCTCTTTCTTCCCTTGTCTGCCCAGTATTAGGAAGAACAAGCTTGTTTCTGGTCCAATCACAAAGGTGGGTGTTGGGGGCACAAGGAGTCCATTCTGGGGCTCTCCAAGGCCGTCTCTGAGTGTTCTGGTGTCGGTACATATGTGGGTGTTTCTGTGTACCTGGAACGCGTGTTTTCTGTCTGGCAGCCATCTGGTGCAACTCCTTAGTGAAGCTAAATGGTCACTCCTGGTAGCTGATGCAAGCCAATCTGATGCATACTATTCAAAAAGGTGGACATCATAGAGCTATTAGGGAAAGTTTCCTTTGGTTTCATGGACCAAGCAAAACAGGCTATAGCTGGAAAATAGTGAAGAGGAGGAGGCTAAACCCAGACCTAGTCCCACAGAGAGACCTCTGCAGCTTGGCATTTGTTACAGACTCACAGCCCGGGCTGCCCAGAGCACAGTGACAAGGTGAGTTTGTTTTGGTAAAAGTTAGTATGATGGCTTTATCTTCTTTAACAGGATTAGCAGTCCCTAGGCCTTAGGTTTAGAGTCCACATGGAGAGTGTCACTTAGTTTCATGTTTACTTACTGGTTTCTCTCAATGCTGATATGTTTGTGATAATTATGTGAATGACTGAAAGTTTCAAATGCAGAGTTGTGGCTGTGGAGTAGGCTAAGCCTCTGCCTGCAGCACTGGCATTGAATATGAGCACCGTTCAATTACCTGGCTGCTCCTCTTCCTATCCAGCTCTCTGCTTATGGCCTGGGAAAGTAGCAGAGGATGGGCCCCTGCATTCATGTGGGAGACCCAGAAGAAGCTCCTGGCTTAGATTGGCCCAGCTCTGGCCTACGTGCTGCCATCTGGGGAGTGAACCAGTAAGCAGAAGATCTCTGTCTCTTCCTCTGTCTGTAAATCTACCTCTCAAATAAATGAAATCTTAAAAAAAAAAAAGTTTCAAATGCTATTTCAAAATTTTAAAATCTGTTAGTAGGCTATGATTCAAACTTTAAATTGGAAGAAATTACTCCATGAGGACAGCTGTTTCTTGAGAATGCATTAACCATTTTTATGACCATATTGTACTTTCTCTGAGTTACCTTTTAATATGCATTTGTAGACTCTCATAAACATGGCCTCTGGTGTCATTTTAAATGCTGGTTTTTTATCCACTTTTTCCTTCCCTTCTTTGATTCTGTAGATTCAGATAAAAGAGTGCTTGTAGTCTCATGACCACAAGATAAATTGTGAAAACCCAAACAACAAATAGATCATTTCTGATGGCAAAATGGAAAGTTGTTGAATGAATTTTTGTGAGTTTAATGTCAGTGAGAAATCTGTATTTTCTGCTCATCTAGCTATCATAATTTTTTCTGACAGTTGAATAATTCACTATAATTACAAGTATTATTCATTAGCATTAATTGCTGTTTGTACTCATGTAGGACTGTGAATTTATAGGTAACATTCATCTATCAAGCGTGTGTGTGTGTGTGTGAGTACACACTTGTTTATGGATATAGTCACATCACCAAATGCCCTAACTGCTGTTTCTGGGCCAGGCTAAATCCAGGAGCTGAGTACTTGATCTGGGGCTCCCAGGAGTGAGACAGGGGCCCAAGCACTGGAGCCACCACCTCCTGCTTCCCAGATGAATTAGCAGGAATGTGGATTCAAAGCAGAGCAGCCAGAACTTGGACTGGGACTCCACGGTAGAGCACAGGTTGCCAGTGGGCTGCTTAGCACACCACACCCCATCCAGGACCCATAAGCAGTGTTTCAGGGGTGTCAGTGTCCACATGTTTTTCTTGTTCACGCAACGTGATTTAGAAAATAGATTCCGTAGGCTTAACATAGTCTGGTGAGTGGTGAGGAAATGTTGGGGAAGAGGTGAACAAACTCTGAGAGAGCATCCTGGGATTCACTCGGAGGCAGACACAGAATGCGGCAGAATCTCCTGACTGCTGTCTGAGTGCCTTTCTTTGCTCCTGATGTTTAATGCTCTAAAACAGTGTGTGGAAGGAAATTCTGTTTTAAAAATATTTATTTTACATATTTGGAGTCAGAGTGACATTAGGGAAAGAGAAAGATTTTCATTCCACTGGTTTATTCCCTGTGTGGCCACGACAGCTGGTGCTTGGACACCCAGAATTCTGCCTGGGTCTCTCACATGGGTTGCAGAGACGCAGGTATTGGTCCCATCCTGTCCTGCCTTCTGAGGTACATTAGCAGGGAGCAGGATCTTAAGTGGAGCTGCCCAGCCAAGACTCAAACTGGTGATCCAGCATGGATGCCCGTGTTACAAGTGCTTGGTTAACCTGATTTGTCACAATGCCAGCTCCAGGAAAAACGTGTCAAAGACAAGCTATATAAGGGCTATCGTAGTGGCACAGTGGGAAAATCAACCACCTCTGGCTCCATCACCACACATGGGCACCAGTTGCATCCCCAGCCCCTCACTTCAGATCCAGCTTCCTGCTAATGCACTTGGGAAAGCAGGGGTTGATGCTCCCAAGTACTTGGGTCCCTGCCACCCACATGGGAGATGTTGATGAATCTCCTGGAACCTAGCTTGGCCTGGCACATCCCTGGTCACTTTAGGGGTAAATCAGCTGATGGAAGATCTCTGTCTCTCCTTTTCTCTCTGTAACTCTGCCTTTTAAGAAAACGAATAAATCATTTTAAAAATGGGTTACAGAATAAAAAGACTTGATTTAAAAGGTTTTCCATGATTTTGTTCTTCTTCAAGACGTACTCTAATGGTTGAACTTTTGGCCTTCCTCTGGTTGCATGAAGGGTGACTGCTGGCCAGGAGCAGATTTTCTCCAGGCAGCTCTCATGGACCTTCTAGCTGTGGTGGCCACTGTCGATGGACTCAGGCCCTGGGTTTAGCCGTTGGCTCATTGATCTTCCTCTGCTGGCACACTTGATCCTTATTTTTTTTTAAAAAGAACTTTTATTTATTTCCTTTTTTAAAGATTTATTCATTTATTTGAAAATCAGTGTTACAGAGAGAGAGGAGAGGCAGAGACAGAGAGAGAATTCTTCCATCCGATGGTTCACTACCCAGATGCTCAAAAGCCCGAGCTTTGCCAATTCGAAGCCAGGAGCCAGGAGCTTTCTCCAGATCTCCCACATGAGTACAGGAGTCCACGGACTTGGGCCATCTTCTACTGCTTTCCCAAGCCATAGCAGAGAGCTGGATAGAAAGTAGAGCAGCCAGGTCTCGAACCAGCACCCATATGGGATGCCGGCACTTCTGGCCAGGGATTCATTCATTTATTATAATTGATTCTTGGCATTGCTTGCTAATTTACAATCTCTTGGAAATTACCAGAGACTAGGGAATCCCTAGACTTTTACTTAGGGAAATTGCTTTATGGCCTTAATTTTTTTTGAATTTTAACAGATTATTCCCAACTTGTTTTGAAACAAGTCATCATATATTCATAAGCATGTTTTCTTTTTAAAAAATCAAATGATTGGCTGTCTGCTCTGCAGGGGGAACAGATTTTTATTTTCATTAGCTACTTTTCTAATGCAAGGAAAAATTGAAATCAAGAGGGAATTTAATGGCACATATTTGTGTCCCCTTGATAGTGATAAAAAAATTTCTACAATGAGATAGACCAAAGATTTATCTTGTTCCAGCTGTTAAGAAATGGATAATGTCTTAGTCTACTGCATTTAAATATTTTACAGTAAATTTGTCTGAAATCTGCTTTTCCAGGTGTATCAGTAGGGAGTTGATTG